AGTATATATACATTATATATCATTGCTTATAATTGTTATCATGTTATTACTTTCAATAAATCAGATTTGAGCAGCAGTATTCGGAATGTTGGTTGAATGTGTTCAGTAGCGATATTATGACTGAACTTAGTTTGTTGCAAAGCTGTGATCACGAATTTTTTTGAGGTGAGTGAAGATGTTTTCAATTGTTCTATTTTTTCTAAAATCTCGTACTGATGGCTTTACTGAAAATAATTCTGAAGTTTCTTTGTTAACTAAGCCAACTTTCGAGCTCAGACTTACGAAAAATTTGTCGCTATTAAGCGTATGAAATACTTCAGTAATATAGTATACTTCAGTAATACTTTAGGTTACTAAAGTATTTCTTAGAATGCATATAGTCACTTCGTATTCAAGGAAGCGGGGAATGAGGAATTCGAATGTTTTGTTTTCATTCTTATTGCATGAGATTGAATCCAAACAAGCTTTAAAAGCTGTCACATCTTAGGATCGAAATGTTTACCGAAAGCTGTCACACCTTAGGATCGAAATGTTTTAATGGTAAAAATGATATCTAATTTCGTTCATTTGAAAAATCATCTATCAAGATTCATGAACTAACCCTTGTGCTTCGAATCATTACACCAGCATTTAATTAAATATCACTATAAGATTATTTTCTTACAATATTTAGACAAATGGCGTTTGGAATGGTTTTGTGAAACATATGTATGTGTATCAACCGATCTGTTTCATTTTAGATATTCAATGCACTTAGAGGATGAGAGCTCAGTGAATTGTCATTTTGTTTCCAATTCATACCACTCCAATTAATTCCTTTTCTTTTAATTTCAAAACAGTATCATACAAAAGCAAGCAAGCTTTATATTTTTACGCTACTACACTAAAAAAAAAGTTTAGAGTGGCATCCTTAAATGATTCATGCTTTTTATCATTTTTGTACTAAGATTAGTTGAATTCCTTTTTTGTGATTCTAAACATCGCCGAAAATTCGGAAAATTCATTAACAATATGCTAGCTTTTACTCCAACTTAATAGCAGCATATGAACTTTAACTTAATAGCAGCATATGAACTTCAACTTAATAGCAGCATATGAATTCATCATAATGACATTCTTTCTGAAAATTGATTGAAAAGTTACTCAAATTTAGTTCATTCGCGATAGCCTGCTCCTTGGTTATGCATAAAAACATATTTTTTTGCTTTAGTTAAAATACATGACAATAGTTAAAGTATATGAAGTGGTACAAATTAACAAAATGAATTTAAAAAGAACTTAGAATAAAATATTTAAACGGGAAAAACAAGAAGCAAGGTAAACATTTCGATCCTAAGATGTGACAGCTTTTAAAGCTTGTTTGGATTCAATCTCATGCAATAAGAATGAAAACAAAACATTCGAATTCCTCATTCCCCGCTTCCTTGAATACGAAGTGACTATATGCATTCTAAGAAATACTTTAGTAACCTAAAGTATTACTGAAGTATACTATATTACTGAAGTATTTCATACGCTTAATAGCGACAAATTTTTCGTAAGTCTGAGCTCGAAAGTTGGCTTAGTTAACAAAGAAACTTCAGAATTATTTTCAGTAAAGCCATCAGTACGAGATTTTAGAAAAAATAGAACAATTGAAAACATCTTCACTCACCTCAAAAAAATTCGTGATCACAGCTTTGCAACAAACTAAGTTCAGTCATAATATCGCTACTGAACACATTCAACCAACATTCCGAATACTGCTGCTCAAATCTGATTTATTGAAAGTAATAACATGA